CTAATTTTGCCATTTATGTAGTGTCTATTTACGAAAAATAGGAATTTTTTAATAATTAATGTTAATTTACATGTTACGAGGTCAATTTGCAACATTTGGGAACTCGGTCAGCGTCTTATTATGTTGTTTATCTTCAATAAAATTCCAATCTTTGTCATAAAAATCGGGACCTCTGTCTTCCACACCACCAATTCCATCTTCCACTGCAGAATGCCAAAAGAGCAAAGTACAGAATCTGGAGGTGTGCACTTGCCAGATGTTCCAATCCGACCATCGCATCAAATCGCTCTACTTCAACGGCCATTCTGACGCAAAAGCTCATTGCCAGCGCAAAAAAGTTGTCCAGTACTACGTCCAGGACAGCCAAGGTCGTTGCTTCCGCCGCGTCTGGAGTGGATGGGAGAGATGCTCGCAAGCCGGCCAGACAGCCGAAGAGAGACTGGCCGGATCCGACTGCAGAGATCTACGACCCCAGACTTGGTGCCAAGCTCAAATAAAAGTCGGATTTTGTAAAGTTAAAGAGATCAGGGAGGTAAGTTTATACCTGGCTAAGTATCTTTAAAAAGTTTTTATTCTATATATCCTATGTCTCCATTTTAGTATTTACAAGATTAATGAATACCTGGAAAACTGCTCAAAGATAAGACATGAATCCGTGATCAAAAACATGTTTACGACAGATTTAATATACCATAACCGTTCCAGTTAGACGCTTAATCGTTATTTCTCCTGAGAGTTGTTTTCGAGAGTATTAGTAATTCTTGAATAAGCCGTTAAAGGTGATTTAAGCAAAATTCTCATTTTCACTCCTTATATAGCCATAAGTAACCCTGGATAACCCGAGCTCTTAACTTGTAATGCTTTATTCTTAGACTCTTTCATGAGCCTAAGCTGATGTTTAGAAAGGAAGCCAGTAAATAATTAAAAGACATTATTATTAGTATTATTATTATTATTATTATTATTATTATTATAACTATTCCTATCAACACTACTCATGTCCTGTATAGTAATAGTAGTATTAAATGGGTTATCCGAGTATGGACAGTAATCTCAAACGTTAAGCAGAGCTTACTTCAGCTGTAATTTTTCAGAATTACCTATATTTAGGAGATGTATGAAGTTAAAAGGCAGCTTACATGTTACGTGTACAAGTAACAAAACCTGATGCGCCTTACTACATTCATAGCAAGTTCTGTGGTCACCAGTCGTCTAAGCACACAAACCTAGCTTTCAGAACTAGATATGCACGTGGGTCATTTGCGACGAGTTAAGCTGATAAGACACTATAAATTATGAACAAAAGAGACGAGAATGTCGACAGAAACAGAGGTTTTTCTAGTCTGGTATTACATCTCGAGCATAATAAAGAAACCTGTTGGACGTCTCGTCCCTTCCAGACTCAAAAAATGGACCTCCGATGGCGAAATTGTGCTTCGGCTGTATTTACGATGACATCTCTCCCACGTTATGCTTATGAGAGCTTGAGTCTTCGGCGAGTCCATCTGTTGGTACTTTGCTTAGTTTCTACATGTTAATCATTCGGTATTCAATATGGTCGAGAGCGTATGTCTCAATTTCTATTTTGTATATCGCGACGGCATAGAAAAGCCATTTTTAAGAAGAAAGTGGGCATGTCATTTTCTCCGGCTTAGCCGCACATCCTATCAAATTAGTGAGCTGTAGCTTTTCATTTCAATTTCCTTATTTTTTTCACTAATTCCAATTTTAATACCGGTACTCACTTCTATTGCATTTAGCAATGCCGACTCTCGTGTGGATCCTGCGTGCCGTGTGGAGGGAGCTATCACTATCATGGACACTGCAGTCTAAGGGGAGAGCGAATATCCCAACGCATCACCTACCTCTGGGT